ATCGTATTCGGATTCCTTGCGACTTCCAGTTGTGGCTGTTTCGTTGATAATAAATAAGCTTATAAGCCCGGTGGGTTCGCGAAGGGGAGTCATCAATCGCTAAGGGATGTTGTTCCTGGTGAGGCGGTGAAGTTGTTGTAGGTTTGGGTCGCGGTGGGAAGCAAACGGGGGTTCAGATCCTTGCGGGCGTGGACTTGTTTGTTTTGAGATGGCCTCCATGAACGAGGTATGTTGTCAACCATGACATATTTGGACATTTGTTGATGTTGCGGATTTGATTCTGTTTTCGGTTTTGTGTGTAATGCGCCGCTGTCTCAGTCTCTCCATGGACAAGGGACCTTTTGCAGTAAGTTGAAGCTTCGAATCTTAGTGTGGTCTTGGACACAATGAGGGATCAAAATTTCTTTTGTCTGAATGTGCTTCGTTTTGAAAGAGAACTTCCCGCTTTGTTTTTTTTTTCTTTTCATTTTGGACGGTAAGATGAGTTTATATTTTAGCTCGAGACGATAGCATAGTGAGTGCTCTGTGTGAATGCATATATATATATATATATATATATATGCTTTGGTTCCAGTTTTAATTGACTTTTAGAACGATTCGATCAGGTTATGAACAAGAAAAATGATCCTGAATGGATCGCCGAGAATGATGATGGGAAGGTAAAGAAAGGGAAAGGAGGTGGCGGAGGTGGAGGTGGTGGTGAAGGAGGTGCGAAAGGAGGAGGTGGTGGTGAGAAAAATGACAGCAACAAAGTCGAGCTGAAAGACAATAAACCCAAGGCACCTGCAGTGCCTGTAAGTAATACAACTCGCGTCTACCTTTAGATTTGGTCTAATGACACAGAGAGGATGATTTGTTTTGTGGATGGTTTGTGAAGCATTTCGGCGGCTTTATTTTCTTCGAAACATTGTGAATTCACCGTCACTCCGTTCTTGCCATATTTTGGCGGAATCGTTGGTGCTTTGCTTGGCTGTAGAAACATGAGTTCAGAGTGAAGATGTGCTGCCCGAAGTGTGAGGAGAAAGTTATGGAAGAAGCTCAATACGCCTCTGGCAAGTTTTCTTTCTTTCTTTACCTCGAATATCTCTCTTCCTACTGTTGGTACAAGCAACACGCACCATAACCTTGAAGTGCACTTTGTTGTGAAACTGATCGAAGTCTATTTTGTTAGTGTTTACATGGAGCTAACAGTCGCGAGTCTTGTCTCAGACTCAGTGGGTTAGTCTATTTTATTAGAAGACATCGTGATCTCTGTTTGAAGGTTCTACTTGCGCTCACTAGGGAAATAGTTTTACATGGTGCAGGTGTGCAATCCGTGAGCATCGACCGTGGCAACAGCAAAGTCACTGTGGTTGGGTATGTCGATCCCGCAGCTTTGTTGAAGAAATTTAAGAAGAATGTTGACAAGAAGGCGTCCAACTGGACTGTAGAAACAAAGAAAGAGCCTGGTGGTAGTGGCGGTGGCAAAGGTGGGAAAGCAGAGAAGGGTGGTGATAAAGGATCAGAGAAGGGACAGAAGCAAGGAAAGGCAGAGAAAGGGGGTGATGGAGAGAAAGGTGGCAACAAGGGAGAAGGTGGCAAGAAAAAGGGTGAAGACGGGGGTGGCAACAATCAACAGAGCAATGGCAAAGGAGGTGAAGGTGGTGAAGGGAAGGCTAAAGGTAAAGGAGGTGGAGCTGGTGGCAATAACAACGATCAGAACAAGAATAAAGAAGGTGGAGATAAGGGCGGTGGTGAAGGGAAGGCTAAGGCTAATGTAGGCAGTGGCGGCGGAGGAGGCAACAACAATCAGAATAAGAATGAAGGTGGGGGTACAGGTGGAGGTGGAGGGGGCACTGCTGGGGGTGCTGCCGCTGCTGGTGAAGGAAAGGGTAAAGGTGGAGGAGGAGGAGGAGGAGGAGGAGGCAGCGGCAACAACAATCAAAACAACAAGGAACCAGAATACCCCGTAGTATTCCATCCCCGCAGCTACGATTACGGAGGATTTCAATCTTTGATGAATCCCAGAGGAATTTACACGGACCCTCGAGGTTCATATGATCCCCAGGGCTCATACGGGGGAATGGATCCTCGGAGTTCATACGGAGGATTGGACCCTCGGAGCTCATATGGAGGAGGGAGCTACTACGAACCTGAGAGTGGATATCAGCCCAAGGACAACTATTACAGCGATTACAGACCCAGCCAATCCTACCCTGCCAACTTCCGCACCCACGACTCCAACAATCAGCCTATCACCAACCCAAATTACATGAAGAGCATTCAATACTGAGTCACAGTTCTGGTTTTGTGCAGGAGATCGTCACACGATCATCACGAGGTCCCCCCTCCCCCCCGTCCTCTGTGATGCCGATAGTCTGTGATTAGAGGGCATGTGTGCCATGAAGAGATGTGGTAGGCCTCTGCACTGGAGTCGGTGGGGTGAGTGTGGCTTAGCTTGTGTTGGTTTCTGCAAGTGTTGCGTGATTTGAAAGCACTGTGTATGTATATATGGACCGGGTGCTTCTCGTGATGGTTATGGAAAGGCATAACTTTGACACTCAATTCATTCCAGCATGTGTTAGAAAGCACGCTGCTGTGTGTGAGCGTTGCTGCGTTTATACTGAATGCCGGGTGAAGTGGATTCAATGAAGATGGATTCTGCTCGTGGAAACTCACGTTGAGGTGCACCGATGCGAATGCAGTTCACGTGCTGTTTGTTTGTTTGTTTTTATTTTTATTTTTATTTTTCGACAGGAACTGGGATCAAAGAGAAACCATCACAGATGCAGTTTTATTTCATTTAATTTTATTTTTTCAAAAAATATTCTTTTGTAGTGGTGTCTGAACACTTGCCTCAAGGATAGAGATTCTCTATTCCGAGTTGAGCAGTGCTAAATTTGAGCCTTCGAAGTGCAGAGAGAAGTGCCTCCGAGTAGCCAGCTTCTTCATTCCATTTTATAAACACCTTTTACTTGGATTGGTGATTGAGAAGATCATGTGGCAATTAATTGATGCTCGATGTTTCAATTCTCTACTTCTTGGCTTCTACTGATTAAGGCTAGAATTTTATTACACGTTTTTGAGCTAGATTTTCTTCTTCCCCCCCTTTTTTTTTTTTTCCATAAGGGAGAGGATTATTTATGCAATTACTGTGTGCTAGAAAGATTTGTTATAGCTAATGTATCTATAATATTGTTGTTGTTGCACTTCAATTCTAATAGGATGGAGTGTCTTGTATTGGGAGCAATATTATTAATCAAATTATTAATGTAAATTAGTTTATAATATAGTATTAGAGCATAGTCAAGAAACATACAAATATGTTTTATTATTGAAACACAAAATATAGTTTTAAAGAATATATGTATATGTAGTGAAATTTACAAATAAAATTGTATATTCTTGTATAATAATTGCATTGAGAGTATTAAAAAATTTAATAAAATTTTCAAATTAGTAGAAATTTTAGAAGGTTGTCAATATGTAGATAAATGGCCATTGTAGAAGTGAATGATATTAGTAAGGATATTTTGATAGGAATATATTTTGAAAGTGTAGAAAACAAAAATTGTATCTATTAGTTTATCTTCAAAAATTTGAATAAAGTACAAAATAATGTATATTTTCAAGATCTAAAATCATTGTAATCCATATTCATGCTTTTTTTGATCAATTTGGAAACTTAGGTTGTAAGCTATTTCAATTTTCTTGACTTAATGTGAAAATAAAATCTTATCTTTGTAGATATGGTTCTATCCAATTGAAGTCTTAAAAAATTGGCAAGATTAAATTGTAATTGTAGACAATAAATCTACTTTCAATCATTTAAAATATTTTAACAAAGCTTAGGAAGCAAAATATATATATCAATGTTTTTAAATCAAATAAAAGAAAAAACTACAATGTACCAATTATACTCAAATTGAGTTCTTAAATCCTAAAATTTTGATAATTTCATCTAGAAAAATATCATTTAGACTTAATTATTTCTTTGATCCGTATCTTAGTACTTCTACCAAATCAAAGTAGGATTTTGATTATAAGGATAGATTGCATCTTTTAAAGTAACCAAGAGTAAAGGACAACCTAATACTTGCAACAAATGTGGAGATTGTAATTGACAAAGCTTCAAAAGCACTTATATGGAACTTAAAATAATAATAATTATTATAATAATCTAATTTAGTCGCATGTCCTTTGTTTGATGATACACATCTAAATAGTTGTATAAAAACAGGTATTTTAAATTTTAAATTGAAATAATTTTCTATTTTTAATATATATATATATATATATATATATGTAAGACTGTAACTAAAAATAGTAAATTTATTATAATTGAATAATTCTTTTATACTAAAATTTTAAATTAATTCATTAATTTTTAAAAAATAAAGTAAATAATTTAATTTTTTAATATTATTAATTTAAATAAATTAAATTTATGTTTTAAACATGATTGACCTAATAAACCTTTGATATTTGAATTGCAAAACTTGTTTAGTATTTTTTTACAATTTTATATGTAAATTTGTAATACTTTGATAAATTTGAGGTTATATCAAACCATAAAACTACAACTTTGGCTAAGAACTTGTGTATATCTTTTATTTTATTATTATAGTTAAAATAATTTTTAAAAAAAATAAAAATAAAAATAAAAAAAACCTTCTAATGTTAAAGTTCCTAAGTATAATCTAAAGATGCCAAGGATACATATAAATTTTAATACTTAAAAAACTCTTCATAAAAGAAATTTATAAAATTATAATATATATATATATATATATATATATATATGTGTGTGTGTGTGTGTGTGTGTGTGTGTTTTTAATCACGATAGAAATATCTAAAAGTTCAAATAATGGCAACTATAGAGTGTGTAATTCAAATCATATTATATTATTTAGTAATGCAATCTTTAAAGTTTGAATTTGATTAAGATTTATATAAAGTAGAGCTTTTTTGTTAATTAACTACATGATAAAAATACACAAGTATCTATTATTGTTTACAAAATTATCAACTACTTTATTTAATAAATAAAAAATATATAATTTTTTAATACAATTATATTTTATAAACTATTTAACTATATAATTTTTTTCTTTGTAATCATGTATTATATTTTAAATATGATAGTTAAAGAAAAATCATTTATTAATCTTGTTTTAGAATATTTGATACAACTTAAAACCAAAAATATTTTAAAAACACACAAAAAAAACAAACTAAGAAACAAAATCTTATGTCATTGAGAAAATGGTATATTTAATTTGTTTTGCTTTGCACAAAAGTCTTTAACTATCATCCACACAATCCAACAAGTAATTTTATATGAATGCAAAATAATAATTACATCAATTCTTACCAAAAACATTTTTTGTATTGTTTTCAATGGGAACAAACTATCTACTTCCTTCTAAAAACAATAGAAATTATGTGCTAATGGACCTTCTCTAACAACAAAAACATAAAATCACAACAATGTCTGTAACAATCTTGAACATGATTTTATTAACATGATTCTTGTTTATATATAGAAGAAAAAAAAACCAAAAACTGCAAGAGAGAGAGAGAGATAGAGAGAGAGAGATCTCAGACCATGTGACGATGGGAAAAGTGGGGGCGTTTATTGCATTTGATAGATCTCCCATGAAAATGTCACACCACGTTTTCTTCTGGAAAAGAGCCACAAAATACAACAAAACCCAAGAAGCAGAAGAAAGAAAGAAGGGAATTCAGCATCCCACACACACACAAGCAAACAAACAAAGCATACTAATAAATAAACCCAATCAGCAGCACTACTACCACTACTTGGGACATCGAAGAAATTCATTTAAGGGGAAAGAGATTTAAGGGGAAAGAGAGAGAGCTAGAGAGACACTACTACTACTACGTCGAAGCAGAAGAAGAAGAAGAAGAAGCAGAAGCAGCAGCGACGCGACGCATCCGCATCGTCCCCCCCCCGCAACAACGTCGACGTCGCATCGTCGCAGCGAAGAAAGGAAGGAATGAATGGGATTGAGTCGATTCGATTCCGAGGGAGGGCGGCCCACATTTTATCCTCTTCCAATTGTTTCCGTCATCCATCCATCCATCCATCTATCCATCCAAGTTTGGCAGGAATTTGCTGATCCCTGGCTCGCCCCGATTGTGCCGAGATCGCCACCTGGTGCGACACGGAGCCTGCCATCTGGAAGGCAATCTTTGAGTGTTTGTTTCGTTGTTTAACCTGTTCGCACCCCCATCGGTAATTTGTTGCGTGCCACATAATATATTAGTGAACTGTGTTTGTGCGCGGGTTTGATTTCGGTGCTCATGTGAACGCTTTCGTGCCGTAGCGTGTATGTGTGATGCCACATCTGCTCGGAACCACGCTGTTAGTCTTGGGTTGGTGGGTGGGTTGTCGAGAGCCAGGTTCCTGCGTTGCGGAGATCGACGCGTCGTCCGCGGAACCCGAATTGATTGATTCGACGTAGTGGGAGTGTTTGTGAAGAGGTTGAAAGTGTGGGTTTTTATTCGGAGGGAGGGGAAATTGTGAGTTGAAGCTGGAAGGAGGGATTAAAGGATGGGTGAGTCTGTGGATTTGTTTGAGGATTTGAGGGAAAGGAATAACGAGAAGGGTCACGGGAGCTCCGTCGAGCCCGTAGAACCAGCAGAGCCCGCAGTTCCTTCGGCTCCCCCTGCTCACGATCATGTGGACTTAGAAGCGCCTCTGTTGGGTGACCCGAGTCAGCGTTATGGCAGCAATCAGGCGATTGAAGGGCAGATTCCGCCGCTGCCGCCTCCCGTGCTGGAGCCTTTGCCCCCGGAAGGAGACCCCTTGCTGTATGTGTGCCGAATTCTGAGCATCGTTACTGCCGTCGGTGCCTTGTTGTGTTTGCTCGTTAATGCTATCTCTCTTTTCCGGTCGTTCGATTACCGCGGCTTCGACTACCGCGTCAGTGTATGTCCTCCAGTCTCATTTCTTCGTGATTCTATTTTTTTTCTTAATATCCGTCCGATTCTCATGCCTCTTCTAAAAACCCTAAACCTACAATCACGGTCTTGGCCTACAATCATCTAGATTAGAGTAGAGCCACTCACTATAGCGAAGGGCAATAATCGAACCAGAGTTCCTGAATTAGTTTTTAAGTTTTGCGCACAGAATAATGTAACCTTATCATGTGCAATTTTTGTTTCAGAATGCCTTGGCTCTCTGAATGTATATGAAATTATAGTCGTCTCGAATCTTTGCCGGGTTCGTAGTGTTGTTTGTATGTAATCTGCTTTTGTATACCTTGATGGACAATCATCCTGTGTTGTAGGTTTTTGTTGGCATCCTACGTTGCTACACGATAGCCATCGCCATTTTAGTTATACTGGCCGAGACCGAGTGGGAGGCCCTCTTCAATTTCTGGAAGGTGCGTGTTTAGCGGTTTTTCTTTGCATTCGAAATGTCGACAATTGAATCATGTTGCACGCATTTTCTGTTCTGAAACCTGGGCAATTTGGTTCACCAAGAAAGGAAATGTTTTCTTAATTGTAGTGTTCAGAGGTGATTAACTTGGTGATGATCATACTCGTATGTCTTGTATAAATAGAAAACCCCAATCAATGCATGGAGTGCATTGTTTAGCGAGATGTTTAGGAAATCTTATACAAGGCGTTCTTTCCTGCAGATGTTGGAGTTTTGGATAGGTCGCGGGCTTCTCCAGATCCTGTAAGTGCTGAAATTGTGCATGTTTCCTGTTTTAGAGAACTCTTTAGTGTAGTTAAAATTATGTTTGGGATGAAGTTATGAATTGCTACGTGTTTAACAATGACAACGATAGTGATAGTTGTTGGTACGTTGTGTTATTTTGGTGCATCTGACAAGTTCTACGAGTGTCCAGTGTCGCAGCTCTGACGAGAGTGTTGAAAAGATCAAGTGGAGAGACCGGTGCCGAGAGCTTGCTTCACGAATTAGCTAGCTGGTGGCTGTTCGGCTGTGGGATTGTTTACACTGTAGCTGTGAGTGCCTTGGAATCCTATTTCCCATGTTCGCGCTCTGATTTGGTAACCTGAAAAATGTAAAGACGCATGTTTTGTAAGCTAATAAGGAATTTCATATTCTTGTGGTTGGCTATTGTAATGCTGAAAAGTTGCCTTGTTAACAAACCTTGGACGCCATTGCAGGGATTTCTGTGTTTGGGCAGCATCAAGCGGAACCATCTTAAGAGACAGAATTGGCGTAAAAAAGCTCAGAAAGATCTCGAGGTGCAGCCAATTCTTCCCTACTATTAGTGAGAAGAATTCAACACTTGCTACTGTATTCTTTTTATTGTGTGAGGGCCTGTTAGGTATGTTAAAGGAAACCAACTTTGATGACGGAATTAGAGGTTTGAGACTTATGAATTTCTCGTCTCGGTTCATTGTGAGAAATTGGTTCTATTTCATTAAATCTAACCTACCATGCACCATGAGATATCAGACCAAAGTTTTACAATCACAGTTTTTGCTGTCGTAGAGGTTCGGTTATTGTGCTACATGAACGAAACTCCGTTAAATATGCAGTAAATGTTCTATTGTTCTTATGTTCGTCTTCTTGAAATTTCCTCAGGAACTACACAGACGAAGAGCTGATCTAGAGGGCCAGCTATCGAAACAATAGTACATTCCTCCCCAAAATCACCAGGGTGCCATTATTTTTCCATTTTATGACAATCAACCTGAAACTTGTCTTAGGGACCCATTTGACACCCCTCCATTACTTCTCTTGTACGAAGAAATACATTCGACCTTAGGAAAAGTGTACGGGTCATCGAAGGGACATGGTTGTAAATAGAGGCTACAAAGCTCAACCGAAACATGTACTCAAGGAATTGAAGCAGTTAGTAGGTATGAAGTGCTGACCTCCTGTTCCATGGCTTGTGTGATCAAGATCAACAATCAGCAAATTCTGAGCTTTTTGTGACATAGAAGTAGCTGTGCACACGCACCCGAAGGTTCAACATAGGTGAGTTGAGCTCATAGTTTTTAAAATTCTCTTTTGTATGTAAGCTATTACTCCGTCGTTTCGACGCTCTTCATTCGCACTCTTGTAAGAGTTTTTGGAATTTTACATCAAATCAAAATTGCACTCAGAGTCCGGTGTGAAACCGACACACGACAGCTACAAATCAGATGCAGACATTTTTTTTTTTTTTTTTTTTTTTTGTTGTTGTTGTTGTTGCAAAGATTGTTCAAAAACACGTGTTATTAGATTTATTTAGACAAAGTTTTCTGATATCGATATAAAGGCATGCATTGATCTAAGGAAAAAAATAACATTGTTACTACAATTATGATGACCAACTCAGACCTATTTACGATTTTTAGTAAATTTACATATGGCCGCTGACGAAATGCAGTATTTTTTCGACTAGAAAAGTAATACACGACTTTTATTCGTTTTATTTTCTAAATTCACTTTAGCAATCAATAGACGAGCACTTCCGTTTCAATGATAATAGCATTTGTGCATGACTCAAACAAAAGCATCTTGAGTGAGGCTAATCACGTAAAGTCTTAAGTTTATTTACTATGTCTTATTTACACTTATCTCTCTAAACATCAAAGATCATACCAAAGTGATTGTAATATTCTATTGTTTGTGATTAGTATTTTTTTTAATCAAAATTTAAATCAAAACTTTATTTTTGCAACAAACTCCTGCAGTATAAGATGGGTTTTATTCTATGAAAGATAAACTAGATGTATTTCATATTTATTTTGATTTAGTTTTGATATGTTTTTTTTGTGAAAAACATTCACAATAAAATTTTGGACCTTGACTACGAAAACTAGCACATTTTCTTATGGAAATGTTAGCCAATCGTTCTTCTTATTCTATTATTCATTTTTTTATTTTTATAAACCCATTATAATAGAGAGACACGTGGAGTTGCAATAGAGTCTCAGATCCACCTCACCAGGTGGGTGAGCGAGGACAGGGTACAGTGTGTACGACGACTCGAAGAACATACACTTCCTTGGTCTCCGAAATCCGCGGCCTCACTTCCCGTTTTAAAAGGCACCTAGACTTGGGCACCGGTAACCGCCTCCAGAAAATCGAGAGCAATTCCCAAGACTCCAGCAGCAGCAGTGTATATCGCCGTGGTCCCTCTCACTCTCCACAGCGGCCTCGGAAGCCACGCCCAGCCCCCCGCGACGCGTTTGTTTCGATCCCTCGATCTCGATCTCCGTTTAAGGGCTCGGGGATCCATCCCCATCGCCAGCGTCGCGGCGACGATTCACCCACGCACACGGTCTCTCCCTTCAGAGCGAGAACGAGAGGGAGGGAGCTTTGCAGGGATACCTGCAGCAGGTGGCCTCGTGCGGCATCGAGACCGATCACTCTCGTCGGGTGGAATTCACCACCGGGGCTGCATTGCATTGCGCGCAAGGAATTTGAGAGCGATGAGTGTGGGTCTTGCGCGAGGGGTAGCGTATTGCTGCCACCTCGGAGCTGGAAGAAACCTTTTGGGTTGCAGTTTTGGGCTTTTCCCCTCGCATTGCCTTCTATACTGCGGTGCTGTGTCAGTAGCTGGGAGAAGTGTTTGATGAGCGTGGTGAGCTAAGTAGCGGACGTGGGTGGGATAGAGAGAAAGCCTTCAAGCTTGTGTAACTGGGTTCAGTGTTTCCTCTGGGAGAAGCTCTTGGACTGTTCCTTTAGAGGATGATTTTGGGGAGTACCTTGAGGATTCAGGGCCTGAGAAACAGTTGAGGATACTAGTGCCTGATTTATTTTAGTTTTTTGTTCCGACACTGTTGGTTCAGTGTGAGCGTGGGAGTTTGTTCATCACAGTGATGCTGTGATGAATGGAAGTTGCAACTCTAGGGCGTAGATTCCTTGTGCGAAGGTCTGTTGGAGTCCACTTGCATTTATTGTTGTGAAGCCCTACTTCAGGATCAGGTGTTCGTCAGTTGCCTTGTGCACTGTATTTGTTATTTTTCTTTCCTTGCGAGATGTTGCACGATCTGTGCCACTGCAAACTCAAGCAAATGAGTGGAGATATTTCCAATGAAGAGGAGAACAGAATGAATGAGGCGTCAGGTGGCTTGACACAGTCACAGCATGATACACTCACAAAGTTCCGAGAAATACTGTCAGAGCAAGGTCTTCTGAGGAAGCGAGATGATGATCACACATTGTTACGATTCTTGCGTGCCCGTGGGTTCGATATCCCCAAAGCGAAGGCAATGTTTGAGGTTATGCTGGAGTGGAGAGCAGAAATTGGTGCTGATACCATCCGAGAGGTATGGATGCTTATAATACATTTTTGTAGAGCTAGCTTAGCCTACACTGAGGATCTTCGTAAGTGAATTCACGCTTCAGTTCCGGCGTTTGCGTCCCGGATCCCGACATTAAAACACAAAGTTTTTGTAAACGCAGACGTTCGAATTTCCAGAAAGAAAAGCTGTACGAGACCTATATCCACATTTCCACCACAAGACGGATAAGCTCGGCCGGCCGGTGTACATTGAAAGATTAGGCCAGTTGAATGTGGACGAACTACTCAAGCTTACAACTATGGACCGCATGTTGCTGTACCACGTGAAAGAATGGGAGGTTCTGCTAAATTCGAAGTTCCCGGCGTGCTCTGAGAAGGCTGGCACTTGTGTTTCCCAGTCACTTGCGATTTTGGATCTGAAAGGAGTGGTATGGTCCTCCAGTGTCTTCCTTCCGATTCACACTTATGATGTCTATGTTTAATTATTTGACTTCGTAGCCCAGTCATTATCCCAGTTTTTGAGTACATGTCCTCTCAACCACGTACTATTCGTCTCAAATTGGACGGCACCTAACATGGATAAGATCCATCCTACGCATACAAGCTGCATAAACAGGTCCAACTAGGCTGCCTGCTCATGCAGCTTGTACGCCTCTTCATGTGCCTTCGTTCGCTTCTCCAGTCTTTGCAGTTAGTTTCGAAGTAGAGATTCAAACTGTGCAATGTGATGCAATGTTATGCAATTGCAGAACATGAAGCACATGAGCAAGCAGGTGCGGCACTTCATTCAAAAAATCACCAAGGTGGATCAGGACTACTACCCAGAGTGTTTGGGGAAGATGTTCATCGTCAACGCTCCAACTGCGTTCAAGGCAATGTGGGCCGTGATTAAGCCATGGCTGGACAAGCGGACCCAGAAAAAGATTGAACTCCACGGTGGGCACTTCTCCTCGAGGCTGCTTGAGCTGGTGGACTGCGAGAACCTCCCTGAGTTTTTAGGAGGCTCCTGCAACTGTCTCGGCGGATGCGAGAACTCAGACGCTGGCCCTTGGAACGAAGCCCCCAATTGTTCAGACGCTCTGTATGATGAACCCTGCAATGCCGATGAGTAGTGATCCGTCTTGGATCTGTTCAAACCTGCTCTACTGCTCCAGCCATGGCGTGATTTCAGTTCCTCGAAGTGATGCTGAGTCTCTGTGGATGCAGTCGAGCTTGTTCGTGATTGTAGAACGGCGTACCTCTCCAGAATCATTATATTTTACTCAGGTTCACTTCTACTATTCAAAGCATTTCTGCATGGCCTCATAGCGCAGATATCCCTTGAGGAGCAAGTGGACAAGAGGGCAGTCCTCTCCGGGTCCTTTTTTCTATAGATCATAAGCGGTTCTGGTATGTGCTCTAGACAGCCATTCTTAGAGTGTTATATAGGACTTTGAGGAGGGTCAAGTCTCATTTCCTGATTTCAAATTGCAGAGGTATATACTTACTTTTTTAATGCTCTGTTAGTGTAAGTAAACTCTCGGAAGTGGACTTTCAAGCATAATCGGCAATTGTGGTGTAGAGTTTGTTTATGTGATTCTGCCGTTGCTCATCAGCAATGTATCTGTCCTGCACAATACCAGACATGCAAGGAAACCTCTTTGAAAAGCTAGTTCAAGGGAAATTCAGGTTTTTGATTGCGAAGTTCGTGTTAAATCTAGTGTTAATTTGTTGCGTAACCCATTTCTTGTGTAGGATATGCATGACTTGAATTAGGTTTTGTTTTTTGGCAGCAAATCGTGTTAAGCAAGGTGCAAATCAACCTGTGCAGAGGAGAATGTTAGAAATTTTTATATTCTTGTAAAAACTATCTGAAAACCATGTGCATGTACCCACAGTTAGCTTCAGTGGTTTCAGATAAATCCCACGAGTTTATTTATATGTTTGATTTTTTTCATGGTTTTTTCTAAGGGTATTCTTAAGTTGAGTAATAATAAGATTGAATCAATTTAGCTAATTCTGCTGTAGTGAACGCATTTTACAATTCTATAATTCAACACACATCAATGTATTTTTCTGTACGCAAAGACAATTAAATATCCACCAGAATTGGAATTGGATGTTTATGCCTTTTTTTCGTATTCGAAAGGCTTTCAGCATGTTTGAACGAACAATGTCAATTACTTCCAGTAAACCATTGTTATTAAGATTTTAAATATGAACTTATTGTAACCTGATATGATGCTCCATCATCAGCAAATAAGTTGAGATTATTAGCATTTAGTAATTCAAACATAAAAACTTTATTTTGTTTTAAATTATGATTACTATGATTATTTCACATCAATTACACAGTGAATAATACAACATATTTATGATCAATTATAATAAAAAGTACATAAACTTGCAAGTGAAATAACAAGATGAATTTATTTAATAATTATGAGGTAGTGTAATGTAAACTAGCCATTGTACAAAAAAACTAAAACAATGATTTTTTTACAAAATAATGTAAATAAGAACACAAAAAGTAAAATGAATTAAAATGTCTTACTTTTATGGATGCTAGGACGTAATTTAATACATGCTGACGTCATCATACTCTTACAATCATAACTTCATGTTGCATACATTACATAACATGAAGAAAAAACATCTATTCTCTCTTTGAGCAAATAATATAATGGTCATAAGTGTACATAACATAAGTGCAATACAAATTGCAAATATCAAATTAATCAAAACTTAAGATGTGAAGATTAAACTTATTAAAACCTCTAAATATTAACTTATAAAATCTAAACAGTAATGCTTGAGAGAAAAAACATTAAAGTAATAACTTAGCCTATATGGCCCATTTTTGAGTTCACTCGTAAATCAAACTGTAAAATCTATATTTTATTTTTATAACATTAGTTTTTAGGTATAATAAATGTATTAACAAAGATCGTATTAAAAATCATTTTATTTGAAATTATACTTCCAACTTCGTCACAAGTGTTGATTTATTTAGCAATATTGGTATTTTATTTTTTATTTTATTAATCTTTGACAAAAAAACGGACTTGACCTAAGAATATGTTCAACTAACATGGCAAGAACTATTGTTTAAATTACATTTGAATTACAAAAATAGTTGTGGTAGTTGGTATTATAGTTGCTGATAGATCAAAAATCATTATTAAGATTTCATTTATATAAAATAATAGATAATCTGGCTTAAAATAACATGATAAAGAACAACAAGATTATAGGGAACTTTTCGTTTTTTTGAATAAACTTATACCTAAATATCTTTATAATGACATTACATGGTTTCAAAATATTTTAAAATTATTCTTTTCTTAAAAATATATTAGAACCTCAGTTTAAAAAAATGAAGATGAAAATTTAATTATCATTAATTATAATTATTTTATATTTTTATACATTGATTATCTTGTATTTTGAAAGGTGTACATGGATAATTTGCATTCAACTTGTATGCATATGCTGAAACCGCATACACTTTGTAGCTGTTACTACTGTCAATATAATTATTGTGTTAAATTCGAAAATATCAAATATTTTTATTAAGCACTAAAATTCTCTTACCAACAATTATGAGCATTGATTAAACCGTTTCTACCAATTTCAAACAAACACACATATATTATAAGAAAGACTGGTTTTCAAAATATTAATAACCTACACAAGCAAATCTGTTTCGGTCCAAAATTGTACCGTTTATTTTTAGTTTAACTCTTTTTTAGTTTACAAAAATCCATTCCAAACTAAAAAATAAGAAATTTAGTTTAGTTCACATAAACTATGTCCACTAGAAAAATATATTCGGTAATAAATCAATTAAATAGTTGAGTGTTTCAATAAGTGTCTCAATAGAGTTTTGTGCGGTACTCCTTCTGTTGGATAGTGTGCAAGTATATTCCAAACTTCACAATGTAGTGTGCACATGATGTAGTAGTGTTAAATTACCTTGTGGAGTTGCAAAAATTATAAACCAACGTTCCTAAGGCTACTGATGAGTTCTGTCACCGAAGTACCACACCCTATGATAAATGTTCATCTATCCTGCCCTCTGATTGCCCACCACAGCATTGGTTACAACTGCATTCACAAAATAAGTAGTACATCTCCTAAAAGAAATTGATGATGCACCTATCCATCAGGTATTCCATTTCTCATTAACACTCCATCTTGATGTGTTGCAGTTGGATAATATATTCAGAACATACCGATTTGAGGAGCCGGATTTTGAGGACTAAGAGTTGATAGTGGCGCTTGATTCTTTATCTCTGGATCTTCAGCTGACGCATGCTCTAACCACTCCTTTGATAACTTTTCCTCAATAGACTCTGCAGAAAGAGAACTGAGCATCACCACTCGCTACTGGAGCACTTGTCTTCTGTTTCCAGCACATTTGACACACCACAATCGCAAATTAATGAATATATGATTGTATGTTTGTTGTCGATTTTAGCACAACAAACATACAATCACATTTGTTCCTCCACTGAAATCTCAACTACATAATGTGTACCTCAAGGCCTTCACTGAGGCGAAACAGCTCGTGAGGCTTTGTAAGGTTAAGTTTATATTGATCTCCTTGGTTTGAGGCAAGCAACTAAATTAGATTTACGTAATTTGAAGATCGTCACAGACACGCGAATTCACTTGATTTTCCTTTTCTTTCTCTAAAAACAGCTCACGAGGGTAAGTACTTTGAAAACGTGGAACATTCTATTTGCATCGTAAGGACTGTATTTCTTATGCACTTGAGAGTGGAGCTGAGAATTTTCTGTAAGACGTTCATTTTCGCCGCACAAGCGACCCAGCAACAGTTTCTGATGGTCTGTTTCTCTTGGTCTTACACCAGTACTTGCGACAGAGTAACTGAATTTAATGTCTTCACGTCTATGTTGACGGCTTTCACCACAATGAAATAGTATCCTCATGCTAGCGGACTCGTGATCAGCGATGCCAAACGACTTGATCATATATATATATATATATATATATATATCAACATCTCTTCAATTGTCGCTGCCAAGAGATGGAGAAAGTATGAACTCCAGAATCATTAGACCCCTAGATTATCCCTCAAAAGTGTAAAAAGTATGTAAGAGTTCAACCAGTCAACACCTAGAGCCATCAGAACAGAAGAGCACGGCTTGATGGGAATCACCATACGGAAATATGATCTCCCAAGGCTCCATCCAGCGAAGTTACTTCATGCTAGGTAAGTCGTAAAATTCTAGGTAACCGATTGTTTGTGTTAGCACACTGCTCAAGAGCCAACATGGTTCACTGAAACGGAAGCTCAGGCATGGATCATATGACGCTATCAGACTTTCCAGGCTTGTGCCAATGTAGGCTTCCCAGCATTTACCATGGGTTTTAGGAGCTTTGAGAGGTAAAATTGATTAATATAGAATTACATAGCTACGTTTGGATGGAGACATACAGGAGAATATCAAAACAAGTCTGACCAGCTGCCCCTCCTCCAGACCTGTTGGTCACTAACTTGAGAACCTGTCACTGCGGTGCAGCTGCGGGCGACTGGAAGCGCGACATGCATGAAATTAGAGCCACTTTTACCACTCGTTACTCAACCATGATGGAATAGAAGCTAAATTGCACCAATCCTGGAATAAGTTGGCAATCCTCCTGGTTCTCAATGTGGTTCCGTAAGCGACTGCAGTGTCCATCAGATCTTATTCTACATTAGCGGGTACAGTCAGATACATAGCATGTGAGGATTCTGAGTACGGCCTGGTAAGTAGACCTCGCTAATGCAATCTCTGGAAAGATCACGACAGCTCCAGTGCCGAAACAAATCTTCATCTACTATATTATGATCCTAATATCTGTAAGCTCCAAAGCGAGCCCGCGGCCAATTGACTGATTCCGATCATGAAAGCTAAATGAACACGAACGGTACTTCACCAAAGAAACTCAAATGCAACATCCTCTTCCATGGTTGCACGACAAAACAATCTCCGGCACTTCAATGTCACATAAAAAAATCTCAGAAACCTGAGTTTCTTCAAGAAATCTCTCCATTCGTCTGAAAACATTCAGAAACATGGACATAAAAAGCACGGCTAGAAAATTATCTCAATCTTTATTCGTCAAGATACTCATAAGAAAATAAATTCACAGACTACCAACGCATCGCAAAATGAAAATATTCGAAATGGACTTTCAGAACAAAAACTACGCGCTCGTTAGATAAAGCGAGTCCACCATCCGACGCAGCAAACAAATGGAACAGCCCCGCTGCACTGGACACTACTCGTAGCACAAGAAACGAAGTGGGAAGAAACTTGTTACGCAAGCATGACAGCAATGATGCATCGCGACGAAGCGAACATGAAGTAGAGAAGCTACGAAGTTGGCAGAGAATGAATGGGCTGCGAGGTGACGCATGGAAGGTGGTCGGAGCGTGGGCGGGACGAGAGCGAAAAACGCGGGAATAGGGAATGTTTGTTTGAATTCAAATCAACCCCGGTTCAATGGATGCTTTCTTCTTCATCGCCCTTGTGGATGGTTGTTTTTTCTTCTCATTCGTTCTGATCACTCGGAGGCAAAATATTGTAGAATGAAACTATCTCGGATTGTTCCTGTCAAATATATAAATATGTCGTTGATATTAATAATTCAGATTAACTTAGATTGGAATAGAATATTTTTGAACTATTTTTTGAGATTTTGAAACAATGTAGGTTTATGATTAGGTTTTTACAGTATAAGTTGTTACTTTGATTTAAGTTTTCTGAAATCTATCTTGATTGAGAAAGATTTTTAAATAATATTTACTATATATATACATACATATATACATATATATATATATATATATATATATATATATCCAACTGTGATATATTAAAAAAAAGAAAAAAAATGGAAGCATTTAGAATTGTCAACTATATGTCTGCTTAAATAAATATAATGATATATATATATATATATATATATACACACACACACACACACAGATAAGAAAAAAAATCATTACATGTAACAGGTATGATTTTTAGTCTTTTGCAAGTTAATTTAAAAAATACTGCAGGAAATGTGACTTTTATTACTCAATTTTAAATGAACCAAAATTAACTAGCATTCAAAACAGAGCTAGTGAACATACATGTACACACAGTCTAATTGTAAAAATCGGTCAAATTTCAACATAGTAAAGTGTGTTCATCTTCAATTATATCTGATTATGTGCATTTAAAGACATACTATAGTTTATAATTATTAACTAATGTTTAAAAAGTACATTTGTGCTTTAGTTGCTTCAAAACACCATTTTTATGTAACTGAATATTACAGTGTGGAAATTTTAAGAAATGACCTAAAACATCATAATTTCCTTGAAAATGAATTCGTGACTGCTAATTAAGTCTCCCCAGATATTTAATTTTGTGCCAGTTTGTTCCAAACTATGGAAAAAAGTAATGTATATTTAATAAGCAGTTCATGTAGTTCAATAAGTGAAATTTAAACACGTTTAGCCACATGAACAATATTTTATCATGAGAAGGAGCCAAATAAGAACACACATTATTTAACATGCTCCCCACTAGCACAAGTACACAAGTAAAACAAATTTGCTTGCACTGTTCAAGTAAGCATTTATTTCCTACTTCAACAAGTGATAATTATTTAAAAGTATTCACACCATTATCTTAAACAACTTAAAAAATAACAACCTACTTGTTTTGGTGTGCAATGAGAAGTTATTTTCTTTTTCTACAATCAACCATTTACTACACATGTAGCAATTTGTACCAACTTCACAGCTTCATGTGACAAATATGTGAATGTTCTACATATTAGAGTTCTTAAATATAATGTATTTTGTTGGACTGACAGGAGACAAAATAGAAATTATGCAATATTTACGAAGGAAGGAAATAAGTTTGACATGAATTCCTTATTTGTATCATCAATCTTTCTTATAAAATAAATTAAATTAAATTAAATACTTTTAGAGAGAAAAAAAATGTTTGTGCTAAATCTTCAAGTTTATTACTTAGAATTGTTTACATGTATCAAGCAGTGCATGTACAATTTTAAGTTGCTTGCTTGCACGTTCTCCAAAATATGTTGTATTCATATTTTTAATTTTGAGAATTGGATAAAACCAACTAAAATAGATAATCAAATATATATAGTTAGTTAGTTAGTGGGTCCCTTTGCTAATTAATACAATATGTTGCAGAAAAACTAATAATCATCAGAAGTTATCAATCATCAGAACAAAGAACAATACAAGATACCCAGATTTTGCATAAAGTTGATTCCAAAATTTTTGATTAAGTAGTGAGAACTATTAGTCTTTTGGAGAATTAATTTTTGGGGTAGACAGAAATATGTATATATATATATATATATATATATATGTTGGTATGAATGAGATATATTGGTGTGGATTTGGATTTTTTTTGTAAAAAGGTGGGAGCTTAAGCAATCTAAAAGACGGTATAACTGAGAGCTTTTAGTAATATACATTGAACTGTTTATTGTTAGATAAATGTTGTTTATATTTTTTAATTTTAAGGGTTATTCAAAATAATTCATAACTAGAAAAATATTTAAAGATTCTTAAGTCACAAGCATCTTCTTTCATATGAAGTTTTGATTCTTTTCACATTCTTTTAGATTATATAAACTAATTATTGGGCTTCCAAGAATTTGAAATTCATGGTTCAGAATAAACATTAAACACTCTTCAGCAAGATTGCAAGAATTTCACTTCTAAATTTGAAGCCATAAATTTTAGGAACCATACAAATTTTCTGAATGTTAAATGTTTCATTAATATGTATGGACAACTGAGTGAAAATAACTTACACAATAAAAATTTAAAATCTTCTAAAAACCCCTTAAAACCAACTTAAGTTGGCAGATGTGTAAAAATACACTTGCACAAGAAACAATATTTTATGCATATGAATATATCTTTATCTATATATATAGATACAAACATGTCATTGAAACTCTTGTAACAAAGGGGCTACAAATGTTTATTATTAAGAAACAACCCCAATATATTTACAAAAATATAGGAAATTATTTTTGAAGATTCAAATATGATTAAAAAAAATATTACTAAACCTTAATGCCTTACAATCCAAAAAATTAACCACCTATTTTTTCAAAGAATCATTCAAAATTCTGGCTAAATATTAATAGTTATTACGAAAACCTTATTTAATTTTCAAATAAATATATAAGTAAAATATTAAATATTGGCTGCTTTGTGAATGAGACTGTTCAACTCATGTAGTTTTTAAAGGGATGTTAGGATATATATATATATATATATATGTGTGTGTGTGTGTGTGTGTGTGTTTTATATACTTTATTTCACCCCCATTCTAATCAACTCAATTATGGTTTCAGATATTCTGACGCTATTCCACAGCAATGTTTTTGCTTTGAGTTGGAGTCCATATTTAGAACAATGAGATTATCAAATGGTAGTCAAAATTTTGGAAAAAACACAATAAATTCCTCTGTCATAGTCCCTTAGTTACTATATATATATATATATATATATATATTTTGTTTTTTACTTTAAAAAAAATTATATCATAGTTTGAATGAACCAACTCACACTCGAAGCAGACATGAGAAATACACTATTCATAAGAACTTTATTTTAGGGTGCATGAAAAAGAACCGTCGCCCCAAAAAAAGTCAAGAGGAGAATGGGTTTAAGAAGAGAGTGTCCTTTGCCTTTTACTTTCCCACTACTTTCACTGGAGGTGGATGAGAACTGTCAGCCACGTCAGCCCAGGCTCCATGCTGGATATTATCTCGATGCCCTGCCACACAAGATCTAGTGCCAGTCCCTAGATGGATGAATTCATTGATAAATGAATTTATTTCGGAACTGACAAATTCGTACATACGAAAGACACGTCCTCTCGTCTCTTTGTACGCTCGTCGTCGACTCTCCAGGTGTCCATTTCGGCTGACGTGGAATTTGCCGACGTGGAAGGGTCGATCTGTCTGCGTCTGCATGAGTCCACGATGGCCGAGTGGCCCTGTCAGCCCGTGCCGAGATGACGTGGACACCCGCGGGGCATAATATCCATCACCCATTACTAGGCCAGAATGTGCCTCTCTTTAAAGCGGGAGCTGTACATTTATTATAATTTGATAATGTTATTACGTGAGGATATGTACCATATTACATTATTAAAAATAAAAATAAAAAGGATGAAAATTGTAAGAAGAAAAAAAAGCATCATATGTACTAGCACTGGCGTTTGTTTTGGGAGTAACGTATTAGAGCAAGATATTGGTGTGTGGTGATATACAACACTGTAATGAATCACAATCCAATGAATGCAACCAAGAATCACAAGATTACATTTCATTCGTTACAAAAAATAATATTAAAAATTACTTCGATGAACAGGAGAAAAAAAAAAAAAAAAAAAAAAAAAAAAAAACTGAAGCATTACTGTATTTTTGTAAATTTTAATATGATTACATATATATATATATACAAAATAAACCAATATGTATATAAAAAGAGAAAAGAGAAGAAGAAATGTGTAACTAAGAACTACAACTTAAGAGCAATATGAAATGCAACCACATAAATTTTATGATTTTGGTTTGTGGTGTACTTTCATGTTTTATGTATAAAAATGAGTACAATTTTATAAACTTAAAATAAATACTTGTTAAATTTTTGTTTCACCTAAGTATTTTGGAAATAATCATTGCTTCAATTTCATTAATTTTCCCTCACGGTTAGTATGAATATCCTACTACTAAAATTTATTGTTCAGATTTGATATATATATATATATATATATATATAAATATACGTACACACAAACACACAAATCAGTCGTGTTACAAATTTGCTAATAATATATAGCGTATTCAAATTCTACAGTCAAACTTTAAAATCAGAAATGATTTTATATTGATTCTCACATATTTTCACAATATTCTAATTTGATTGTCTTTTAAACTATTTTGTTGGTGTGTTAAATAACATATATAAGCACTATAAATAAATAAAATTTATGTTTTTACTTCCTGTTATGTATCATGCTATATATAAAAAAAAAAAAAGCATTAATTACATTGGTACTGTAGATGTTTAAAATATTATATATTATAAATGGAATAATAAATAATGGCAGAGCATCTTTCAACAATTCTTAACCTGTTTACATTATGTGTTATGATAATCAAAAAAGAACAAAGGACATGCATTCATAAAATTGATTTTTAGGATGCACAGAATAAACTTTATAGAAATGGAAATACAATTTTACTCTGTGCATATGTTGTATGAAAAAAATATAAATATTTCATTGACCACAACTTGTATGATTCAACGTTACATTCTAAATACAATAAATATGAAATATTTTTAAACAATAACAAAAATTACATTATCAAATTATGAAAATGCAAAAGTTGCAAATATCTTTAACACTACTATTTTTATTTATTATTATTTCAAAAAAAATGCATTCTTATATATTCACTAGCAATCCATTAAAACAAATAGTTTTCACTAGAACAGAATAGCTGTGCTAAATTACCTTTAATTATGACCTTTAATTATGAACACCATTTTTCCAATAGAAAACCATAGCTCTACAGCCTAAAAGTTTATCTCTTCAACAAAAAATCAACATAGAATCCTAAAAATCTTACAACCATCATTCTCCATAAAAATAAATATATAAATAAAAGAATCCACAAATATAACCTTCTCGATATCACTATCACCCTCATTTTCATATTCATTCATTCAGTTTTGCAAATAGAGTTTCACTTTGTGACTTGAAGAATTGCATTTTTGACTTCTAAATGTCAATAAAAGTTCAAACAAATTCATCAACTTGTTCCAATTTTAAAATGAAAATAAATAAATAAAAAAACTCAATCATTCATTAAAATAAAAACGAGAGAAATAGAAATCAACCCAGAGGAGTAGTTTCAGACAGGAGCCAACACCAGGCAGAAGACGACGAGAAAGCATGGCATAAGATCGGAAGTCCAGTTCCCTGTGTCTCACGTCCCCAGAGGAGGACGAAGAAGAAGCACAAGACGAAGAGATAGCATGGCACAAGATCAGAGCGCTAGTCCCGGGTGGCTGAACTCCTCAGAGCAGGAGACAGAGTTGCGTGGTGATGGTGATGGTGTTGGTGTTGGATGTGAGACCAGGTTCCATGGCTGCAGTAGCGGCGGCGAAGGCCATCATCAACGAAGGTAGGAATGGGAGGGCGAAGGCGAAGAAGATGGTGATGGGTTTCGGTGTTCATGGGCACTCCCTGAGATGGAGAGCGAGGGAGGAACTCTTCCTGTGCATGCCATCTCTGTGAAAAGCTGCTAGTCAGAGTTGCAACAACTGCTGCACCAGCAACAGATTCTCCGTATTGTTCGTCTTTTCCCCGTCTTCGTCTTCGTCTCTACCACCCCAAGTGGAAAAAAAGCAAAGCAAGGCTGGTCGTCAGAGCTCTAAAGCCATTGCTCGTCAGGCTTTGCGCTTCCTGCTTCACCTGGGTCCAGATTTTCCCAGGCGTTACCAGAACAACCGAATTTCTCCCCACTGGTGCGTCATCAAAGCTGCGGGCAGACGCTGACGCAAAAAAGAAACAGAAATTGAATACATAAGTAAATAAGAAGAAGCGATAGAGTAAGAGGACGAGGAGGAAAAAGAAGAGGAAGCCCAGAAGCTGGATTTGTCGATGGGGGAGGGAGTCAGTTGAGGGAGAGATATGGCTAGATATGGGAGGGCTGCAAGGGTTGAGATGTACTGCGGGCCAGTGACAGGGATGGAGAGGGAAAGAAGCTATGGCATTGAAGGAAGGGGGCTGAAGCGCCGTGAGAGGAGTCAACAGAGGGTGCTGTACCTCGCGCGCTTGCAGGAACCATAGTCATCCAATTACTGTTACTGTTATAATTGTTATTACACTACTACTCCTCCTGCTGCTGCTGTTGCTGCTGCTACTTCTCCCACATCTCTCCCTCATGAACCGGCATTGGGGAATGAGCCTTGACTCTACCTCTCTCTGGGTCTGGATTTATACTCCCACCCACACAGTAACGCCAGCACCGCTTCCACTATCACTGTAGCAACTCGCGCACTCTCTCTTGACTAAAAGGCTGCTCTGTACTAAGCTCACTCACGGCCCGGCGTGACGTTACTGCAGCTTCACAACCCCTCTCGCGGCTCCAACTAATGTTCTTTGTGTTCTTTGCCGAAGGAGGAGTGTTCTGTTTCTCTTTCACCGCAGTGTGGCTGACGTATGTTTGCCATAGCCGATGAGTACAAGTGGCAGGCGGTGAGAGAGAGAGAGAGAGAGAGAGGTTTTAAAGTTCTTTTTTGTTTCTTACGGTGTCTTCTTCTTTCCCCTTTTATATTTTGGAGTGAAGTTCCTTTTTCAGCGAGCTTGGCATCCACGCATGCATGAGCTGGGGGTGTGGTTTGCGATTACCTTGCAGGGTTGAACTTGTTGCAAATCCGATTATTGGGGGATTGTCTTGGTTCTTGGTCGTTGGGCTGGACTGCTGGCGCCGAAAGCCTACTAGAGTACAATCACAGTAGACGTAGAAATTGATCCTGACCTACTAGGCGTCTTCTACATGTAATACTTCAACATCGACATAGTTTCAGAGTCACCAGCCTCCTCTTGAAGGTTACCGAGTCTCAAGCCTCCTCCCTCCCGCCTCCCTTCCCCTGCAGGCCCATGAGCTTACCTGTACGTGCCCATTCATGGAAGTCTCATGGTCACCACCAGTTCTGACTCCGCCTGGAAACATTCTTGTTTCGAGCTGCTGACCATGGGGTAGCGAGGAGCAGTGATGTTCCGCTCAAGTGATGGTCTCTTGCTTCCGACCTGTCTTATTCTCTTGATTTCTCCCGTCTTCTGCTAGTTCTCTTTCCAGCATATGGAGTTCTCTAACTTAACAAGTATGTAGTTGGACCTCCGCGCAACAATTGGCTTGCTCATCTGGAGCGAGATGGGAATCTGGTAATGGTTTGAATTCATCTATGAGTATGTGGGGGTAAAAATTCCGCAAGAATGCTGCAATACAAGACTCGGGTTTGGACAAACCACATTGAAGACGGCCCAGTCTCTAGTTAAGTTTCTGTAAATGGAGTGTCTGAAATTCTAGAAGCGCATCGAGTCAAGTATTTGAGCTCTCTTCCCTCTCACTCCCTTTTCCTCACACACACTCACACACACATGCAAGGATTGAGGCTATGCTGGAAGAAATGGGTGCGCAGCCAGCATTAGGGGGTGTGAAGATGGAGCCGACGGCAGCGAATAAGGGCATGACCATGTCTGTAGACCACAGCTCAACTACAGTGAGCGACGGCGGGAGCCCGCAGCAGGTGAATGAGACCAAAAGTAACAGTGTCTACGTCAGTCAGTTGAAAGCATGCATTCTACAGAAAAGGTACAAGGCAGAACCAATCGACACAGCTATCCCAGAGCTGGAAGATCCAGAGAGCCCCTCCGGCGCTCAATGGAGCCATGATCAGGGCGTCACAGTCGACAATCCAGTTCAGGAGGGGGCTGTGATTAAACAGCCAAACGCTGCGCCATTCTCTAATTGGCCTCTTTCGAACAGAGACTCTAATGTTGAAGTGGAGGCAACCAAGAATGTGCGCATTGAGTGCCGCCAGTTCTGGAAAGCTGGAGACTACGAAGGAGTCCCTGCCAATACTCCGCAACCACCAGGTTTGGGCTCTTTCACACTTGCAATGTGAAGCACCGTTCAAAGATTGCAAGATTGGGCTTCAGCTGCCTACTCTGAATATTTCGTAGAGTGTCTAGAGAGGGCTTATAGATGACAGCGTTCTGCCCTAGTATCTGAATAGTGACAAATCTCAGTAGAATTGGTGAACGCAGGTTTAACTGAGTGCCTTTACTATGTTCAGGTGGGATTGATCACGTACGGGTTCACCCGAAGTTTCTGCACTCAAACGCAACCAGTCACAAATGGGCTCTAGGAGGTACTTGGGTACAATTTCCAAACAAAAAGAAGAAAAGAAAGAAAGAAAGAAAGAAAGAAAGAAAGAAAACAAAGGAAAGAGAATAAAGAAGCTAAGTTCTAAGATTTTTCGAGTCTTTATACTTGATAGCTCGTCATACGTCGCAGTAGTGGATGAGATGAACAGAACTAAGGTTGTGGCGAATGAAGTCAGCGTCTGAAAAAGAATGGTGGGGTATTACACAAAACCTTCTGAGGTGTAAGGTCTGCAATAATCAGCGTCAAACATGACAGGGAGCACTGTACTGCAAGTAGAACCTCAAGCTATTTCTAAAGACCTGTTGATGATCATTAAGGTGAATTGGAATAGCTGGCCTCTACGGTGGATAGAACGGATTTGTGTACATTTCCTGGAAGTTGGGCTAAATTTGTTGATAAGTCTGTTCAAACCTGTGAGGATACAAAAGATCATGCTGACTTAAAGGGTATCATGAACAATCTTTGTTTGAAGGATGTTAGCCCTGACACTGCTTTCGTGGGCGCAGCTGTCGCTGAAATCCTAGACAATTCAATGGACGAGGTAGTTCTAAACACCTTCTTCATCTCCAATTCCTTACGAATTTTCTACTCGCATTACGTAGGAATATGTAATAATTCTTAGAGTTCGAGAAATTATCTGCATGACAGAATCTTTAACTGCACTCTCTAGCTATTCTATACACTACGTCAATTTCTTTAAGGCGCAAAATTACAGCCTCCTTTTCCTTTTGTGGTATTGATGTTTTGCCCATGTCATTTCGTTCAGGTGAAAAATGGAGCGACTTTTGTGAATGTGGACATGGTCCGAAACCCACGTGATGGATCGCCAATGCTATACATTGAAGGTTTGAATACAAACTCCTAGCAAAAGTAGGCTTTCAATATCTCTTCATTACAAAGTTCCGACTCCTTGATCATGGCTTGCATACTCGTTCTTATCTTTGATGATCAAGTTTGTACAAATTTTAATCCTAATTCACATATCTGAATTCTCAATAGACAATGGTGGTGGAATGACTCCCGAACGCATGAGGGAATGTATGTCCTTGGGATTCTCCACTAAGAGCAAAAGCGGGAACACAATTGGCCAATGTAAGTCTCAAATACACCTGTGCGTCATTCACATAGTGGGTCAAGGAATCCTACTCATACTGCTGATATTCAGCGCGGTCGACAGATCATGAGGGTTATTCCTTTCAAGGGTTTTAATTATTGCCGGGATTTTCTTTGTCAATGTAAGTAAACTTGAAGTGAAGAGGATCGACAAGCCTAATTTCAATCAAAAAACCATTGAAAATTACGAGGAAGTCTGGACTGATTCCCAAAAACCCATTAAATTATTTGACTGCTTGGGACAAGCCTGGATTTGAGAGCAAAAAACCAAAGGATTCCCTATGAATGAGACCGAAAGTAATTTCGTGAAACATTGTCTATTCGGAAACTCCAGATGGGAATGGATTCAAGACGAGCACCATGCGACTAGGAGCGGACGTCATTGTGTTTTCGCGCTCACCGGCTGATGTCGGACGAAGGCACGTCCAAAACTTTTCTGTGATGGTGGCGAATGTCTTGGTTGTCAATTTCACAGTATTTGCATTGATGCTTGCATTTTAGGGTACTTGCCACCCTGTTCCAAAAAGGAAAATATTCAGTTCCTAAATTTGTAAGCTTTACCAGCAATCATTATGTGCATATGCTACTGTGACTTAGCAAAATATGACGATAAGTTGAGCGCTTTTATGCAGAGCCACTCAGAGCATCGGCTTACTATCCTTCACGTTTTTAAGAAGTACGGGACATGATGATATTGTTGTGCCCATGGTGAGAATATCTCCCATTAAAAGCTTTTCCAGGATATCTTGTCAGTTTTAGGAGGTGAATCTGGTTAGGGGATGTCGCTTCTTGGGCGGTCGCCTTTAAACTGACAATGTTCAAATTATAAATATTCTTTCTGTATCCATCTCCAGCTAAGAAAAACGTTTCTATCAGTTGATCTCCTGAACGGAGTTACTAAACATCTGGTGCTAAATTTTGTTGTTCTCATGTGACACTACTGAAGCACTTGAATGAAAAACCAATGATGAGGATTCAATAAGGCTTCACAACTGCTTATGAACTCGACAATTCTGTGTGGGGATTCTCCTCACAATTGTTGAGAGATTGGATGACTTGTCTGCAGGTAGATTATGAGCTAAAGGATGGAATGATCTGCCCTCTGATCAGGAGCACAGCAAACGATTGGGTCCATAATTTGCAGACTATTCAGCAGTGGTCCCCGTATTGCACTGAACATGATCTTTTCACCCAGGTCAGAGCTGTTGGTTGGTTGGGCTTTTCCAGTTCTGAGTTTGTGAATATGCTCTCTAATTTACATTCAGACAAGTGCAGTGTGTCGAAGAATCACGAAATATGGTACTAAATTTCAATGCCCAGAATGTTTCTGAATCTTAATGTTTGATCGGCAGTTTTTCGGTATGACCGAGAAAGGAACAAAGGTCATTATTTACAACCTGTGGGAGGATGAACATGGCCGAGTTGAGCTTGACTTCGAATCTGACAGCCACGTGAGTTTGGATATTTTCAATTGAAATGAATTCAGTTTCAGGTTTGCAAAAATCTAAATCTTCGATCAGTGAAGTTCGTTGAAATACACGATGAATTAAGGAACTTTTTTTTGAATATCCAGGACATTCAGGTGAGAAATGAGGATTTGGACGAGAGAAAAATTGCCATGGCTCAGCGTTATACTCACTCAAGGCATTACCTAACCTACCAGCATTCCTTGCGGGTACGATACTTCATCCTAAAGTTGTCGTGTAAGCTTCCACAATGGTATCTGAAGTGTAATTATCATGTCATGTTTCTCATTCCACACGGTGAAATGTGGTTTCCAGAGTTACGCGTCCATCTTGTACTACCGATATCCGCCAGGCTTCCGAATCATCCTTCGAGGTCAAGACGTTCGACACCATGATTTGGCTGAAGACTTGATGTATACGCAGGAGCTCAGTTACAAGCCTCAGGGATTCGAAAGTTCGAGAGACGTCAAGGTGAATCTTTTGCAATGCTAGTCGTTTCTGCTCAACGTTATTGACCTAAACTTGAGCATCAATTATTTCTTTCTTTGTGCATGTTAGCGATTACATTATGAAAACACCTCACTAAAATATATGCAGATGGTTGCAAGAGTGGTCATGGGTTTCGTAAAAGATGCCAAGGAGCATGTGGATGTGCAGGGCTTCAGCGTTTATCATAAAAACCGTCTAATCAAGGTGTGCTCTTGTTAACACTTCCACTAATCAGCAGAACTTTTACCCTTTTTTCGAATAGACTCTCGACATCGAAATTGATTAGAATGGATCTCAATCAGCAAAACTTGACATCAACTCTAGTGTTTTGCGCTAAATACAAACATCTCACTAAGTGTTTCATTTAAATACAGCCATTTTGGAGAGTCTGGAACACTGCTGGAAGTGATGGGCGAGGCATTGTTGGTACGTAAGACAAGTTCAACTGTAACGTGGATAGAGAGTGGCAACTTTGTTGATGTTTTCATACTTGAAACAATTTTCTACTCTGAACTATCATTATGAGAACCGAGATTAACAGATGATCAGTTTTGAATTGCAGGTGTGCTGGAGGCTAATTTTGTGGAGCCTGCTCATGACAAGCAGTCATTTGAGCGCACTGCTGTATTATCTCGTCTGGAATTGCGTTTATTGCAGATGCAAAAATTATACTGGTATCTGCTCACCTCATCCACCTGTCTGGCTTCAATAGGGGTACTCCGAGACTTCCTACATGATGTTGCTGATATGAATTCTTGGCAGGGCTAACAACTGTCATCTTGTTGGCTATGTCAACAAGAAGTTGAACCGGAGAAACAGTAGACAAGCTGCTGCTGAAGCAGGTAATCTTCTGTTGAGCAAAAATATCCAACCTTGTCTAATATTTTGGAATAGTTTTGTCTTAATTTCGTTACATACAATCGATCCAAAATCCGAATTAGTAGTCAAGGTTGCGGTTCTGAACTTCGACAAACATGTGTAGTGTCGCATTTGAACAGTCAATGTTGTGACACGTTGCTGAGATGATAAACATGATCGATTTGCAGACTTGAATGCCTGTGGTTTCCAAGTCGAAGGCAACCCCTTTGACAAACTTGATCCTCTAATAGAAGGAGCACGTTTAAACATACCAGGATTTCCGGTTAACATGCCAGTTCACATGCCAAGGTTGGATATTTCTAGCCCTCCGATTGACATGGGTTTCCACCTTGTCTACCGCAACCGCTCAACGTCAAAGAGAGGTCCCCCAGGTCTAGATTTAAGCTACGAAATAGACCGGAGTGGGTCTGGCACGCCTGAAGTTTCCACGCCTAAGGTAATTATACGAAACATCCTGACATCTTTCTTATTATTACTATTTAGTCCCTTTTCCCTTGCTCTCTTTCTTTCGATCAAATCGGATACATCTTTACTTTTGTGTGGAGTGTCCACCCCGATACGACTATTGGTTGTGAGAATTGTTTTTGGAAGTTATGAGAGTGTTGCTCTCGAACAACTGATTCTAAAAGGAAGATATAGTGGACTGTACGAGCCACATGTGCTGTTCGAAGTAATTTTCATCAGTCACATAATTAAGACCTTGATGATTCAGTTTTACTACACTAATCCAATCGATCAAACATACGTCACAACATCATATTTATTCATTATTAAGGGATTATAAGCAGAAATGAAACTAATCAATTGAATCAAATTTTGTCTGTTCAGAACTTCATGTGGCAAGGATCAGGGCCTGATGCGAGAGAATCTCCTGAAGTCGGAAAGAGTAAAGAGGACCTTGCAAACGGATTTGATACAGTAGGCTTTACACTTACTCAGTCTTCGTTAATTAATACCACAAGGAGACAAAGAAGATGCCACTCTTTGTACCAGTGCTTGTTATATTCTAACTGAATTTTCAGCTGAAAAACTAATTATTGTGAGATCATCGCAGCTACAGATGGTAATGAGAGGAGCGGCGGATCCAGTTACGCTAAATGGAATGCTCACCAGTATGAACGGTCAAGGTCAACCATTTGATAACGAGATCACCAGGGAGCTTGAAGAGAATAAGCACCTCCGTGACAGGTGAGCATCACCCAATGACTGGTGGTCGCTTAAGTTACAATCCAAATGTCTTCGTAGTTGTGTTTTCCAATAGCGCCTTGACGATAACGGTCGCAGCTTTCGAACATGCTTCAATTAGACTATTCTAACTCATGCACTTCCATGCACAGGCTCCGTAAGCTGGAGCAGGCAGATGAGAAAAGCTTGCATTTTGAGATCGATAGGAATCGCAAACTCGAAGCGCTGGTAAACATCTGAGCTTGGTGGTTCTCTAAAAGCTTGGAGTTCATGACACTATAGATACTTTGAACTGAAAGGCTCCTTGAGTTAAAAGAAAAAGAATTGACTGTCACCTGATGACCTCTGCTGGTGACAATCTCTGGGGGGCATTGGCTTTTAGTTTCCCTCAATAGGAAATAGCTAAAAAATGTGCTGGCCCTGACAGTTGAAGTTGTTCCATTAAGAAGTGATCTGATTCTATTTGGGTAGGGCAGCTCCTTGATATGGAACAACAAGAAGCAGTTGACCGACGTTGCTTAGAACAATGCACCCGTGAACGAGACAACCTTCAAGCTGCCATTGCGGAAGAGAGACGCTTGCACGAGCATGATGATGAAGACATGCGGAAAAACTTGAAGGTAAACTCTTGTAGGCCTAAGCACCAGTTCACCCGCTTCAGTCGATTCTATTAGTGAAGCTACCTCGTCTATATTACAAGGTAGTTCTAGTGCACACGAGGAAGAGAGGTTGTGCAACAAGTCAAAATAAATACAGAACATCTGAAAGAAAGCTTAAATCCATACATATTAAGACATAAGTGTGTGCAATTGCTGATAAAACTACCTGACTTCCATATACAGTTGCGGATATATGTTGAGAAGCTGTAGTGCTGTGGGATGATTTTTTGTCATCAACAGTGAAAATCAGCAATTAAGGTTGAGTGTTCAATGTGATGTAGGTCGCACTATTGCGTGCTCGAGAACTTGAAGCTGAAAACAATCGCTTGCGGCTGCTGCATAATTGAACAGATCAAGCTCTGATGAACAATGTCCTGCATTCCTGTATAATATCGTACTTTCAACACAGTACCTAGAATTGAGCAGGATGAAACCCATTTCGGAGCTGTCGATTTTGGACGAGACTGTACGAATTCCAGGTGACAACTCAAAATGTACTTTGATCTACTGAAACTGATCAACGACATAAATACACTTCAATACCGTAGCACTGGCCTTCACGCCGCCGTTGATTCTGACACTGATGGGGGTGTCACGGCCACGAGGTGTGAACTGTTTACATGTTCGACAGTGCTTGAAGAAGAGCTCTGTACCACTACCGCTCTTACTGTTGTTGGAAATGTTTCCATGGCAGCTTCTTTTACTGCGATCGTAGGTACTGTTCAGTGGTCATCACATCTTCGATCCTCGTTGGTACTGTCAAGACGAACATTGTGTGACTATATGACGATATCAATACTTTGCCAGATTCCTGCTAAATCTGACATGGTGGATTCTTCTCAGGACCATACAAACTAAGGACACTGACATAATGTGTTGATTGAATAGTTCATGGACGTGGCCAGTCTGAATCTCCTGACTACAAGCTACATAGCAACGCATTGAAGCGTTTTGTCAGGATTATAATCGATGAATCCAGATTAAATTGAAATATGCATTATAGGAGTAGCTACCAACACTAGTGGGCCCACGTTTAACTACCAGCGTAGGTTTGGGTATCTCACCTGTATACAGAAAAAAACTGTACAGTGAAGGGAAAAACAGACGCTTCACAGAAGAAAAATCGTAAATCAGAGCCTGAATGAAAGAGGGCTGAAGATGAGCTATCAACTTTGTAATGCGGTGACTGTTGCAATGCTTGGGTTTGATATTTGAACAATAATTCCTTCGTGCATATGCTCCGAAATGATTGGTACCCACTATCACTGCATTGATGTCGAGCAAATAGAAGTTTTCGTATGCTTCTTTCTGGAGACAACAAAAGGGTCTCTGGAATGTCGCTAGGCTCTTGACGAACACATTGCATTTTGATTGTAGTGGATCTGGCCACTCTCGACCTATTGCAACTTCTCAGCAGAAGGCATTGAAGCTATAGAAGGATTAACCCCTAAAATTTCGCTTGAAAACTAACCCAAATACTTTCCTGCTCCATTACAACTAAAACCCTGACAGTATTAAAATTAAAGTTAAACTACAAGGCAGCTCTCATAAGCTGCTAGAACTGATAGGATTAAAAGCTATTCTGCTACTTTGTCGAATACGCCAACCCACAGTCACAGCCACGGCCAAAGACGCCAGGGCGAATAGTAGCGAGAATACGCTTAGTGCGCTCCCAAGTTTGCTGGAGCTTGGCAAGCTTGGTCCATTTGTAATGATTTCAAGTTGTAACCAATCACAACTCACTGAATAATGCTGATAGGGCATCCACGCAGAGCCGGCAACAGGATACCAGAAGGCAGCCGACATGCCGTGTGTTGAACCGATTGTGAATTGAACGTCCTGATTCAATTGAATGGAATAAGTAGAAGTTTGAAAAAGGCGAAGAGGTGGTGAGGTGTTAGCGTTTACAGTGCGGGAAAGTACTGACCAGAATCAAAGGGGTTCGTTCTCGATTCACCATTATCTATCATAGGTGAAGAACTCTCTATTCAAAGGGGGTTTCCTACAGTGTAATAACGTAATGAACACTTCAACAGCCTTTGACAAGCACGAGTGGCTTACATACGCTTTTAAACTTCGGTCGAGATGAGCCAAAAAATGTAAATGACATAGAACCAGGCAAGGGAGAGAATGAACCTGTTGAAGAGCATCATTAGTACGCAATGGCCTCGCAAACTCAAACGTATATGTACCAGTACCGTCCAGAGCTCCGTATGGACTGTCGGCAGCGACTAAACCTGCACAAAAGTGTGCGTGTGCATGTGTGTAAATATATAGCAATGCTCAAGTTCAAACAGTTGAGCGAATGTCGCTTATAAACCAATGTTAGGCCGAATCAAACACAAATAGTTTTGTAAAGACAATCCACGCTGGAGATCTGAGTTATTCTTGAATCCTGAACAATCAAACAGACAAAACTTGCCATATTTTGTATCTGTAGTGCTGTGAGTCCAAGATCCACGCCAGTTGTTTTGGCCACCACCGGTTACTACTCCTGAAAAAGACAGTTACGTTATCAGTACTTGTAACTTTATACAAGATGCCGTATCCAACGTAACCTAGCGTAAAATACAATCCTCTTAACCCATATCTGTATTTAAGAGACTTCTCCCTCTCAGTAAAGCATTATCAACGGTAAGGAACTGCAAACAACAAAATTAAGGGGCACAGTAGTAAGACTAGTCTTCTATCTGTGTGGCGAGCACCCGGTCTTGTTCAAAGCCATTTTTTATGGCTCCTAAAGAAATAGCAACTGATGGATGAGTAGAGAAGGTTGGAGACAGGCAGCTTTTGGCTACAAGAGAGGGAACTGCACCAGTAGGTGTCATCCCATCGTATGATCGACAATGAGGATTCCAAGCATAGCCATCATTCAACTTGCCAAAGCTGCAACAACACTTGCATCATCTAAAGTCAGTACAAGACGAAAGCATACAACCACCCTGACTGTATTTGTCCTCGCAATTATCCATTAGAGAAGTATGCACAGAAAGCTGGTCATCGTACATCAGAGAAGCGCCGCGGTCAACCGTTCTAGAGGAAATGAACAGGCTCGCCCAAAAAATTAGTTCGTGGCCATGATCAATATATCATACCTATCTCTCCCTGTGCCATTCAAGCTGTCAGCAATGTTTTCTCCATATAAGCGACCAGGAATCGCCTGGTTTATTTCAAAATGTAGGAGGTCCACCTCATGGCCGAAGCAGCTTGTGGCATTGCAAGTTGTAGAGGCCTCTGGACACCCGCCCATCTGTAGACAAAAGAAATGTTATACCTTGTGCAGCAGTGGTAGCAATCGCTTACTCAGAAAATATCTAGAGAATGCATGCCTTACGTCTAAGTTATTGCGTATAATACAAGTCTTCCCAAATCATGTTCTTCAACTTCAGCAGAGAGGTACATGTGCTTATATGAACATACATTATGATAGGTAGCATCGTCTCCAACTGGGAACATCAGAGATATTGCTGCCATATTCTTCTCACTGTAATCAGCAGAAAAACCCATAAAACGCTTGTCAAAATCGGTTTCCTTCGTACTTGCAAGCTAAGAAAAGACCATGGTCCATTGTCACTAGCACACATAGACTTCATAAATATAAGTACGATTAAACGGTCTTCCTTTCCGAAGGTCACTAAAGTACAACGTAATAGATCCACCTGCAGAATTCAAGGGTAGAGAGTGCTTACTTGACATCGAATTTGTAAGCTCCAGGGATTTGGAGCAGGAAAAAGATATCACGACCATCATGGGCCACCTGCATCGGCACTCTTCCAAACGTTTGATAAAAGTTTCAGAAAACTGTAGTCCCCCCCAAACATTACAACAGCCAGCTACGCTGAATAAGACAAACTTGTTCCTCTTGGTCAAATTGAATGTTACCATGGAGTTTATAAAATTATTCAGGAAGATGGTAATGAATCAGATTACACCTCTAAGGAATAAGTAAGACAAATTCGACTAGGAAGCGTAATCAATACACATTAACTTCACGACTCGAACCTCTGCTTCATATGCAGATAAAGAGTAAAACAAGATAGGTTGAGGACAAAACATAATGTTGCTCCCTTAGCACAAAAAGCTAGTGAGGTTCTGTTGCCATCCCACTTTTCCAAGGAAATATTGAAATTTTGGTCAAAATATCTCGGTGTGAAATCAAAACAAAAAGATTTGGAATGCCTGTTAAAGATCATTGAACAACGAACTCCAATCTGAGCTGAAAACAGCGCTTAGATTAGGTAGATACAACAGAAAGGAAACTCAGGGAAAGAGTAATAGCTTGGATTATCGCGAGAGCAAGAGTGAGAGAGAGAGAGAGAGAGAGAGAGATTGCAGGAATGTATTTCAATAAACTTAAAAATCAAAACAAAACAAATTAGTCACTAAGAAGTTAATTATTGATGATGGGGAGAAAGAAGAAATGATCTCTCACCATTTAATGATCCACGACACTCTTTCTAGACCGTTCATAGAATAGCGATATTTTCAAGCCGTGAGAGATACTTGTAACGATAAAAACAATAGAATTGAAATCGTGCCTTTATTTCCATGGATCCGCTGGGATAAGCAGTGTCGGGATCATCAGTCAGAGCCGGATTCAACGCAAACGAGTTTCTCTTCACAGAGCTCCAGTCGACGTCTAGACCGTCGATAGTGATGCTCCCAGGCACATAGAACGCTTGCAGCTTCACTCCCATGTTGCGCATACAAGGCGAGCCCGTGTCGCCTGTGTCTCCATGACTCCACACCTGAAGAAAATGCACGAAGACGACAACGAGACTGAGTAACGCCACTTGAAGGTGGCGCGCCATAGCTAGGGTCTGAATTCTGGAGGTGGTGTTCGATGGCGCAATGCTGCGAATGAGGACTCTGATCGATCAATTAAGCATATAATCTTTCGGACCTCGGTGTTGGGTCGTTTTCTTCCAGGTCGCCTCCTCCCTATCGCCGTCTCCTCCTGAAGTCAAGTCCTCTGCGGAAAGCTCTCCTCAAATTCCTTGTAAGTTGGAATCCTAAGTGGAAACTCCCTTGCGGTTTTTTTTGCTTAAAGTCAGGCATGTTTTTGTATACAACAAGTTTCGAGAGAGTTTGATCTGCTACAGCAATGAACTGTTTTAGTTAATAAGCTGACTGTAACTCATTAACAGATAGTTTCCCTGAGTAAAGATTAGAAGAAGTCGAACTTCCGTTTGCAGGGATCTTTCAGAACTACCAGCGCTGCGAATGAATCATATGTCCTGTTCCTTTTGTTCGGGATTAGTATCCTGAAAAAATTTCACGAAGTCTCAGAGGGAATGAGCAGATGGGGAAAGCTCCCCTCAAATTCCTTGTAAGTGTGCACACGGACGTCATGTCTTAACATTTGAGAGAGGAAGTGCCTAACAATCGTTGCTAGGTTATCTTTCTTTGAGATGATACAGATCGGAACTTCATCTAGGGACTCGGTAAAAGAAAACTACTAGAGATTGTGAGTGGTGGTCGTGCCGTGACACTACTACTTTCTACCGCATCTGTACTACCTCAAATTTACTACGTTTACCATCATCGAACACGAGAACTCACTCGTACATGTTACCTCCGGGAAACAGGGTCCGAGGAATACTACGCTGGGATTCCACGAGTTCATGGACATTTATACATTCCTCCAAGACTGGAACACGTTTCCAACCACTTATTTGCATTGACCTCCTGGATGGTTATGGAACACCAATCGCACGATATTGTACGAAAAACTTAAGGTCAGTGTGCATATATCATTCAGGAAATCGTTGACAGAGAATTTCAGCTGCTGATTAGTCATGCACTCAATGTAGTCAATCAGCAAAACGAGGGACATCGACACGGTTCAATACTATAATAAATGGTTAGATGGACATGAATTCCTGTACCACACGGAAGATATTGCGATCATAATGGTCACAAGACAGGTTCATTACTCGGATGGTGTGGCGCAAGATCTCCTATGCTCACTCAGGTAAAGCGAGGATAACACTCTCTTCCTACTCAAAATTGTACCTTTGCACTATTCTGGAATGCTGTGAAAAGACTATTTCTACTTAAATTAGTGAGGCAAAGTCAGATGCAGGATAGAATAGGAAGATTTTACTAGCCATCTTGAAAGCACTCACTACATTCAAGATGATAGAGCTGTACAATTTCCCTCCGGGTAGACTGCAGATCTGCTTCCTAATCCAACACCATACGCCACCTACAACTCAACATCATCACTAAAAACACACTACCTGGACATTGAAAATTTTGAAAAGTGACGGCCATAAATTGCCCTCATCCTCTACAGCTCGGGTAAGCAGCCTCAGATGGAATTCACTACAGCCAAAGAATCGTTGCACGTTAACAATTACATGATTGATAAATCGTCTGGACCGTTCCAAAAAAAAAAAAAAACTGCCAGTCTCCATTCGTATCTAGACAGACTTGCCTCAAAAAATGGGGCTGCTCCTCACTGTCGACAAATTTGATCGACCACGAAATATATCCTACACTTGCAGTGGCTACCTGCGTGAGTAATCTTTCTCAACTGCTGGTCTCCTCATCATCTGCCTTACCAATCCTGCCACCGCCAAATCCTTTTGCACCTCCGGCGGGGACTTTAGCCTTGGCAGATTTCTTGGCAGGCTGCTTCTTAGGTTTCGCCTCCTCAATCTTCTTCTGCTCCTCCTGCAGCGCTCGCTTCTCCAAGAATTCTGTCACACCGAGGTAAATTACACCACCCGTGAGAACTGTAAGCCCTATGGTCGCGAGAACGAACAGGGTCGAGACCGTGGTGCTAATTCCAACATCGGACGGGTCTACAGCGCCAGCTGCGATTTCATCCGCCAGCGATGCCCCTGCACTCATCAAAGAAGTAGCCAAGGCCAATGCGGACGCATTGGTAGCTCTTCCCAGCACTGAAGGCGACGGCGACGGCGACGGCTCCTCAGCGCTCCTCCGGGACGGGCTGCTGCCAGAAACTCCAAGGCATCTAGCCTGGCCTAGTAAAGAGGGAGTGGCAGCGGCATTGGAGGTGCGGGAGGCAGGCGGGTGGGCGGAGGAGCAGCGGAGTAGGGGCTTCAGCGCGGGGCTGAGGCAGACGACGGGAAGAGCAGACGCCATAGCCAGGGTGACTGTGCAAGGCAACCTCAATGGTCCCAGCCAGGCAACGCGAGAGCGTGTTTGTTCCTCGGCTTCAACACTTACGCGGGGAAGAAGAGAAGGGGGGTAAGGGCCACGCTCACAGGGTGGGTGTGGTCCTACGTCACCCCCTGTTCCTCCTCATGGCCTGGGTTTGGATAAGCCTTCTTCTTGTTCATCGACTACTCTTCCCAGCCTCATACATACAATACAGCACACCCCCCCCCCCCATTCTGCTACTACTACTTCAGAGTTCTATTTCTTTTCACACTTCGGACCATTTCTCTATCAGCCACATTACACTTGTTAGTTTGTTTGTTAGTTTGTTCACCCACTATGGAAACTATTTGGATTGTATTTCATTACTCTTTTTTCTTTTTAATGCTCCAATAAAAATAAAAATATACCAAAAAGTAATATATATATATATATATATATATATATATATAGATTTAGTGTATTTTTATAACACTAATAAGCAACTTAAAATATTCCGACTAAAATTTCAACTTTGTGGTATTTTTATAAGACATATTGATTATTTTAGTTGTAATTATTTGTTGTGCTAAAAATATTAAATCACTAAAAACATTTTAAATTGAACCGGTTAATTTGACGAAAATTATCAAGTTAAATTTATGATATATAAAAAAATGTTGTTTTTAATGTATAAAAATAATTGGTAAAAAAGTAAACACTAAATTTGGCATTGTTTTCTTTTTTCTTTTTTCTTTTACTTTTATATGATAGAAATTGAGAAGTAGATATATTTTTATAATTCCGGTGTTATAGTTTGTGATAACATTATCATGTTATTCATGAGCTACTTTTTTGTGAGAATCATTAAAGCATTCTCCATCAAAGCAAACATAGAACCAAGTTTGTTCAATTATGAATTTTAGTTATAGCCTTTAAATAATAGAAATTATTTTTTTATTTTGAAATTAGCAAATTAAAAATTACATAGTATGATTTTTAATTATAATAAGTTCACAAGATCTGTTTCTTTTTAATATTCAACGTACAGAGTTTTGAAACATTAACATTTACTTATTTAAATTATCAATATTTCATTATGATCCAGAAATATGTTGGATGATTGAAATATCAAGTTCATCTTGATTTTTTTTTTAATATTTAATTATGTATCTATAAAAATAATTTCATTACTATGGATATTAAGATCAAAATGTGATTTTTTATAGTTGTTAAAACCATTATGTAATATTATAGATACGAAGTTCATTGTATAAAATTATTTAAGAAGAAGTTGAAATATTAAGCACGAAAATATATATATATATATATATATATATATATAGTCTATTTCTATCCGTTGATATTGTATGCATCTATTATAGTAAAAAATATATTGATAAAAAATTATAAGAATATTTGTTTAAATCCTTTGGAGTTTCTTTGTAATATTTGTTTAAGAAATTCTATATGCATCTGTAAGATTTTACCACAGTAGAATGTTTACATTGGCTATTTAAATTTAAAATCTTATCATACTAGTCATCTATGACAAGGATATCAAAATAACACAATGGAATTGCAAAAGTTTAGAAAAACTTAAAAGATTAGCATGGTTGCAATTGTATACAGTTTATAATGAGTGTTAATTTAATCAGTTAAATGTAATGTGTTTCTTTCATGTTATGAAGACACAATACAGATTGTATTAGCTAAAGCTTAAATTTTAACTATAAATTATAAATATTTTATTGATAATTAGATTTAAGAGTAAATATAATAAAATAAGATAAATTAACAAGTGGATTTTATTAGGGTTCTTCTGAAATTACAAACATGAGATTTTATTATACTTATGGTCTTATCTAAATAATCAAAGTGTTTAATTGTAAAGAAGATATCAAGTTTGCATACATTAAAGAAAAACACATTTATTTATTTATTTATTTGTCACACTTTATCAAAGTATATTTAATAAAATTTAACATAACGTGCAATGTTACAATAAATATTACTTATTATTAGTATATTAATTATATACTTAAAATAAAAAATAAGTACATTTTAACTTCATCACTTATTTCTTACTATGTGGCATTTAATAAATTTAAACTCAAGGTAATTTAATAAAAAAGATTTATCTTACTATCTAAATAATCACCACAATAACATACAACAATTATATAATTATATAAATAAATTAAACATGAACATATTCAATCGAACATAAGATACAAAGTACTAATCAATCAACCTCTATTAATAAAATATTGAACATAATAAGAAAAGCTATTTAATACAACAATGATATTGACTCATTTAAAATTAATATTTTATGATATTCATGGTTGATTATTATGAAACTTCTTAACTAATAAAATAGAAATAAATTAACACAAAACTATTAAAATTAAAATTACAGGTATTTAACAGTAATCAATAACTAATTTAGTAAAAAATAATTAAGTTGATAAAATTAAATAATATATTTATTGATTTTACATTAATTTTTAAAATTAGTCTAAAATATAAGATTTCTTTATTTATATGGTAATAATATTAAGCTTTAAAAATTAATCATACTAAAAGTAGTCAAAGATGTTGAATATCTCAATTTACTTGGCAATGATTTCAAATTTTATTTCAATAATTTTTCATTTTAAAGGTCTTTAAAGACAAAAGATTGTCAAAGTTATTTGGAAAAAATGCCAAGTTTAAATGACAACAACTTGAAGCACCAATTTAAATCAAAATAAATAATACATACTAAATTGCCAAAACCCTTTAATACTATTATTAAGTTTCAGCAATTGCTAATATATAAATGAATCAAAGTTGTGAGATTTTCCAATTGATTTGGCAATACTTCAATGTTTTTATAATCTTCTATAAATAAGAGTTTTAAAACTATAAGATTAAACAATTTATTTAGAAATAATTTCAAAATATGATACTTGGATGTAGAAGGTAAATTAGAAATTGTATTAAAATTTCTATAAAATTTCTATATTAAAATAAGATTTATTTTAAAGAACCATAAATTAGAAATTGTATTAATTTATTTTAAAGAACCATAAATAAATCTTAAAGAATCTCTAAAGAAATTATAAATAATCTTTAAAAAGTACAAAAAGAAAATCCTAATCAAATCCTAAATAAATTAGTAATAAATCCTAACAAATTTGAAACAAATCCTAAGTGATCTTAATAAAATCCTAAAAAAATTCTAAAAATCCTAAATTATCTTAATAAAATCTTAATTAACATTTGCTAATTCTTATTGCAGACTAAAAATCTCAACAATCATCAATCAAACTATTGATAATTATATTTATTGTACACATTAATAATAAACATAAGAATTTTGGTAAAAAAAGAAACTTTTAATTAGAAAAAAATATTTTTAGTTTGCTTAGGTATTTGATGTCCTCATTTTTTGACTGAAATGCTGATCTTCTAATAATAAGAATTCCTTACTAAATTATTTACTTGCTCTTAAAATTGAAAAAACTATTAGAAACTAAGTTCAATTCTTGTACATAAAAATCTACTTTAATCCAACTAGTAGATTACTTAAGATCACAAAAACTCTTACTGATCCTAATAATCATATAATCAAGATCCTAATCCAATCAAACAAATATTCTTTAATTTAAATTTTTAATTAATCTTAAATTTTTAATAAATATTTCAAACAAAAAAATTTACAACCTTATAAAAATTTACTTGTCCATTTGCTACAATATTCACAATTTTTTTAAATATATAAACTTTCTTTTATTTCTAAAAAAATCAAAATCAATGAAAATATTTCAAACTCCAAAAAGCTCTTTGATCAACAAAAGAATTCCAAAATTGTTGTAGAAGCATAGTTTTGTATCTTGGGGTCTAATTTTGATGTTAGTTTATTACTTATCTTTTTTGCATATCTATTCTTAGTTTTTTAAGATATTTTTTTTGTAAACTACTCTTAATTCTTTTCAAATTTTTTTTAATATTTATTTTTTAATAATATTTTTTTTACCTAATTTATGGCAATATAAATTAAATAAAAGTCTTTAATTGCAAAAAAAAAAAAAAAAAAAAAACATAAATATTAAATTTTTTTATTACCTCTTTTTTTTAAATATATTTTTTGATATTATATTTTAAAATTAGGATCTTCTATAATAAAATCTATAAATTTATCTTTTACCATATAATTCTATTATAACAAGATAGTTGCCTCTTTTGAACATATATAGCCTTTGATATGTATAAAAAATTAAAATCTTGTTATTAAATTTAAACCATGAATTCTATGTCTTCATCTAAATCTTCCTTATCATTTTTGTTATCCAATTCAAAATTATTGTCTTCTCTTAGAAGGTTTAAGTCTTTAGTAAAATCTTCTATATTAATTTATATTTGTCTTTGTTTGAATATCTTTATTTATTTTCTAATAATTAGTATTTTTAACCATATTCCATTTAGCTCTTGTAGTAAATAAGTTGTATTATCATAAAAAATTGTTATCACATGTGGTTCAAACTAATATTTAAAAACTTC